TATTGCTTACAAACTGTATGGCCGTGGCAGGCTTCTTGCTAACTGTTCTTATAGCTTAAATTAATCCATTTCCATAAATCTATACCCTGCCACTTGGCTCATGGCTTACCGGGCATCTTCACATGGTGCTTGTCCTGGCGGCGGCTGGCAGTGACTCCTTCTGCCTTCCTGTTCTTTTATTTCTCCTCTCTGTTAGTCCTGCCTATACTTCCTGCCTAGCCACTGGCCAATCAGTATTTTATTTATTGACCAATCAGAGCAACACATTTGCCATACAGAACATCCCACAGCAAGGTACTCTGGGATACACAGCAAAGAGACTGTCCCAGGTGAGACAGAAGGCCAAGAACAATGCAAGGTCACCTTCTGTGGTGATTTAAAAGAAAATGGCCCCCAAAGGGAGTCGCTGTTGGGAGGTGTGGCCTTGTTAGAGGAAGTGTGTCACTGTGGAGGTGGGCTTTGAGGTCTCATATTATGCTCAAGCTCTGCTCAGTGTGATACTGAGATCACTTCCTGTTGCCGGCAAGATGTAGGGCTCCTAGCTAATTCTCCAGAACCATGTCTGCCTGCTTAGTGCCATGTTCCACCATGATGATAATAGATTCTGAAACTGCAAGCCGTCAAGTCAATGAAATGTTTTCTTTATAGGAGTTGCTGTGGTCATGGTGTGTCTTCATAGCAATAGAGACCCTAACTATAAAACCCTCTGACGCCCACATGCCACACATATACACAGCATCCATCCACATGTATAGTCATGTCACTTACATACAAAACCCTGGAATACCATTTGTCTCCCTTGCTGTATGAAGAAACTAGTAAAGATAAGGGTCTTTAACTCATGTGAGCTGAGTGCAGAACTGACGGTCACTTTGGCCCTAGTTTCTGAGGAACAAAAGCCAGGAGATGGCAACCAGGGAGCAATGCAGCAAGGGCCAGTCCCACAGGGAGGCCCTGAGACCTTCTTCTTGCCAATATGATGGTGGTCAAGTCTTGTCCCAGACAAGTGACCTGGGCTGGCCACCTGGCACAGCGGACAGTCATTGGCCCACTAGAGAGCTGAGTAGCAGACACTCCAGAAGGACCGGAAGTCTCTCACTGCCATGGATACATGGAGGCAAATGCAACTGAGAGCCTTCCCTGACCTGCCTGATGCCCAGGATCCTTGACCCACGGAAACGGGGGACAGAGGTTGACAAGGAAAGAGGGGTAACATTCAGCAGCAACCAGGTTTGGGGCAAAGGTCATGGCATCACCGCTAGGTCAATAGGTTTGCTAGTAGGCAGCCTGGAGAGTTGACACATGGTGGCCCCTGTTTGTGAAGCAAGTGGAGGAGTTCCTGGTTGGGAAATGCAGGACAGGAGACATGCAGAGTGGAGAAGGAAAATGACCATTAGTGGAGACAGAAAAGATGTCCATTAGATGCAGGACTGTTATGTGTCCAGCGGAGGCTGGCCACTGAAGTCACAGAAAACTGCAAGTGTACAGTGCATGGCTCTCTTATTGTCTGGGGTACAGAGACAGCACAGGTACTCGGGATGCTGGGGCTTTTCTAGTTGTCACAACCAAACAGCACAAGAATTCAAGTGTGAGGTGCTGGTGACAAGGACCGATCTCTCTCAACAGCAGTTGGAGGACGGCTTCATCTGTGGTGGTAATGTGTTCCCCGGAATATTGTGCACCCTAATAAACTTATCTGGGGTCAGAGAACAGAGCAGCCACAATAGTAAACATACAGGATAGGCAGTGGTAGCACACGCCTTTAATCCCAGCATTCCAGAGGCAGAGATCTACCTGGATCTCTGTGTGTTCAAGGATACAGCCAAGCATGGTGACTCACGCCTTTAATCCCAGAAAGTGAGCCTTTAATCCCAGGGAGTGATGGCAGAAAGCAGAAAGGTATATAAGGTGTGAGGACCAGAAACTAGAAGCTTTTAGTCGGTTAAGCTTTTAGGCTTTGAGCAGCACAGTTCACCTGAGAGGCATCCAGTCTGAGGAAACAGGATCACCTGAGGAACTGGCAAGGTGAGGAAGCTGTGGCTTGTTCTGCTTCTCTGATCTTCCAGCATTCACCCCAATACCTGGCTCAGGTTTGTTTTAATTAATAAGACCTTCTAAGATTCCTGCTACATTCATCCTGTGATCTGAGGTGAGAGAGAGACTAGAAGAGCAGCAGAGCACAGGGTCCCAGTGGAGCTCAGAGTGTTGCTGTACAATGCTTGCATTCCCTCCAATTCGTACATGATACCCCTTACCCCAGGTCATGGTATGTGGAGGCGAGGGCATGACTATAATTAGATCATACCTAGATATGGTCATCAGAGTGGGACCTTCCAGATGGAATTAGTGACCTTACAGGAAGGGGGAAGGAGAAATGTCTCTCCATGCACACACACCAAGGAAGGCCATGTGACAACCAAGAGGAGTGGCTTCCAACCCAGAGGTCTAGAGGAGGGTGAAGAGGGATGCACATAGGTGTATGGAAAGGCTCTTCACCAGAACCTGGCCACACTGGCACCCTCACCTCAGACTACCTGTCTGCTGTAGTGGTACCCCAGGCAGAGCAAGTCAGGTGGAAAGAATGTCGCAAACCAACCGAAGTATTAGCATGCCATTAGAGTTTGAATATGAAATGACCCCAAGAGCTTCGTGTGACTATTTGATACTATTTGAGAAACTTTAGGGGGCGGGGCCTAGTTAGAGAAAGCAGGTCCCCGGAAGCACACCTTTGAAAGCTGTGCATGGTCCTCAGTCCATTCCTCACCCTCTTCCCTAACCATCGGAGAACTTTCCCCACCACACATTCCCACCCCCAGGATGGTCTGCTGACGCACAAGAGGCTCAGCAGCTATGGATGAAAACCTTTGAAACCCTGAGCAGAAATCCTTCCTCCTTGAAAGTTGTTCTGTTAGGGCTGGAGAGATGGCTCAACAGTTAGGCGATCTTGCTGAGTTCCATTCTATTCTGGTACCTACCTTGGGCTGCTTACAGACACCTGTTACTCTAGCTCCAGGGGATCTGATGCCCTCTTCTGGCCTATTCAGGTACAGCATTCACATGGCAGGCTGGTAAACACACATGAATAAAAAAATAAACCTTGAACTTGTTCTCTCTCATGTAGGTCACAGTCACCCAGAAGGAACTAGAGCAGATGTTGTAGTAAGAAAATGAGGTGTCTGAATGAGACTCGTCTGTAGCTAGAGTTTTCTGCCTTGCCCACAGTCAGGACAAATCTCTGTCACCCGCCAGTCCCACAGCTGCTCAGACCCAACCAAGTAAACACAGAGACTTATATTGCTTATAAACTGTATGGCCATGGCAGGCTTCTTGCTAACTGTTCTTATAGCTTAAATTAATCCATTTCCATAAATCTATACCTTGCCACGTGGCTTGTGGCTTACCGGTGTCTTCACATGCAGCTTGTCATGGTGGCGGCTGGCAGTTTCTCTGCCTCAGCCTTCTGCTTCCCAGAACTCTCCTCTCTCCTTGTCCTACCTACTTCCTGCCTGGACACTGGCCAATCAATGTTTTATTTATTGACCATCCCACAGCACTCGTCTACTCATTTATATGAGATTTTGGTAGGAAATGACTTTCTCCAAAGATGACAGTAACTGGAATAGACAGGGCGGCCATGAGCCAGATAGAATAGTTACAGAAGAATGGGGCATGTGATCTGGAGGTGCAGACACAAGACCAGACTTGGGGGAGGGTTCCCACAGACTGAGTTTGGCAAGTGAAACCACACTGAGGAGAAAGGGGTCCTTCCCCCAGCGCCCCTGCTGTGGGGGCTTTCACAACCATCTGCAGAGGCAGGGGGCAGAGCCCTTTCGAGAAGGGCTGAGGACATGGGTTATCTACTGACATTGGTCCACAGTTCCAAGGACAAGGTTTGCACCTGTGGGAGGAACTGGATGACACAAGGGCCAGGCCTCTGGGGACCGTGTCAAAGCAGAGATACAGTTACCCAGAGGAGTATGGCAGCATCTCAGAGCTTGGACACAGAGAAGCCAAGACTTCAAGATGTCTAGTATAGTGGTCTCAATCTCAGAAGTCACCTGTGGAGAGCAGACTGCCAGACCTCTTTGCTTTTCACGCTCAGGCAGAGTTCACAGTTTAACATGAAGTAACCTATGAAATCACCCGTTTGGTGCAAGTGTGTGGGTAGGTGAGTGTTGAGAATTAAACTCAGTGTCTCCCACATGATGAACAAAATCTCTCACTGTAAAATGGGAAGGCTGGGGTCCAGCTTTGGAGGACCCCTGCCCCCTAACACTCGAGATCTGAATGCTGCACCAGCCCCAACAAAGACAACCACAGCACTAAAAGCTGTGTATCAGCTTTTATCTGTTCAACAGCACCCCCTAGAGGATGTGTGTGGATTGGCATACGCTAGCTACCATGTTCTCCTTAAGATTCCCTTGAGATCTGGGGATGGAGAGGTGGCTCCGAGGTCCTTTCAGAGGTCCTGAGTTCAATTCCCAGCAACCACATGGTGGCTCACAGCCATCTATAATTTGATCTTGTGCCCTCTTCTGGTGTGCAGACATATATGTAGGCAGAACACTGTATATGTAATAAGATTCCTTGAGATCTGGCCTGGGCAGAATCTCCTCTTGGCTCCCAGATATCTTAGCTTCTGAACAGCCCATGAGCAAACACTAAAGATAACCTGCTTAACAGGATCAGCCATAGGACATCTGTAAATACACACAGCAGCCTGTCCCCAACTACCCCATCTCTAAACAAGGGTGAGACAATGGTGTTTCCACTAGCAAACCACACAGAGAACCTCTAAATGACCCATGAGTATGCCGTGGTAGCAGAGGCAGCTCTTAGCAGCCATCAAATGCAGACTGCTGATAAGCCAGGGCATGCTGGGAAATAACAACCAACATCAGCTAAGCAGAAGGAGCTCTGCCCTCTTCCCTACCTACTGGGCATCAAGGCACCGTGGGTGGGGGAGGGGCTGCCCAGTCTCCTCTCCTTGGCAGCCTCACACATGCAAGGCACAAGCTGGCCACTGGCCAGAGAGAAGGGATCTTCAAAGTAAATCCGGCAAAAACATTTTTCTTTGTTAGCCTGCTCCCACAGTTGGCCCCACCGGTGCCCTGTTCTGGGTTTGAGCTGCTTTTATTTCGGAGGGAACTGTTCCCTTCTGTTTGTTTTCTGAGGGCGGAGTATTCCAGACTAAAGGCACAGTGAGACCATAACTCCAGAGACTGTCAAGGAAGACTAAGAGAGACCCAAGCCCCACCTCAGTCATGGTACTGGGGTGTGGTGTGTGTGAGACGTGAGGAGAAAGGGGTACAGTCCATGATACTTCCATTGGGTTCACAGCATGGAGCCGGGGCGTGAACAGGTCATGGTGTGTTGCCTACATGAAGAAGGCTGCCTGGTCCCTGTGTCGTGTGGATCCTGACAAAATTCAGAAGATGGTGTGGGCAGTCCTCTGTTCTTGATGGGCTGACTCTAGCGACCATCATCAGAAGTATGAGCTCTTCACAACAGCCAGGCTCCTATCGGAAGTCCTGCCTGGGGCCTCCGCTTCTTTCCTCGGGGCTGCTGCGTTGTGGGCCCTACAAGGAGAAGTGTGCAGTCAGTGCCTGCACATAACGTGCTCAGGTAGGGGGAACGTGCTCTAAACCAGTCAGGTATCAGTGGTACCAGGGGGCACCATGGTGCCCAGGAAGCCATGAGTAAGCAATGATGGAGTCATGGTGCTGGGGAGGCCTGGCCTAGGGAGAGGGCTCCTGACGTGAGGTCAGAAGCCAGTGCTCACCGTGGTGGGCAGCCCTGCTCCAGGTCCTGGATGGTGTCCTTCAGTGTCTGGCCCCGGGTCTCAGGCAGCAGAGCACACAGGAGGCCTGCCCCGACCGGGAGGCTGCCGAAGATGAGCATGGGGAGGGCCCCGTGGTACTGCTCCAGCAGCATCACAAGCGGTGAGATGATGCCGCCAATCCTGGAGAAGATGCTCACCAACCCCATGCCTGTCTGCCTGGGGAGCAGCACAAGCCTTTGCTCTCACTTCGGCCCCACACTCCGGTCCCGAGAAGGCCACGGCACGCCATGTCTATCTGTCCTCCAGTGGCCTAGGCCTAGGCAGCTCACTGGCTGCCTGTGGCTGGTGGCAAAGGGCCAGGAGGATGGGTGATATTAGATCCCCAGGGCAGAGAACCAAAGTCACCCCAACAGTTCTTACCTGATGATGGTGGGAAAGAGCTCAGCGGTGTACACATAGGATGTGGTGAAGGCAGCCGATGAGGCAAACTTCCCCACCACAGCCAGCACAGTGACCACCGTGGGGAGCCCTGGAGGAGAACGTGGGTCAGCCACACAGAGGGAAGGACACCATCACCTAAGCCCACACACCTCCCTGGCTACTCAAGCACCTCCCCCTCTGTGCCCAAACCCTGGGAAAGCCTTGGTCCTGAAGGGCAGTGTGGCCCTGGCGGGAGGAAGACAGCCTCGTACCTGCTGGGATGAAGATGATGACGATGCACATGATGCCCGCCAGAGTCAGAGAACCTAACTGGCTCCACTTGCGACCCAGCTTCTCCATCAGGAAGATGCTGGAATAGCGGGCAGGCAACTCCACTGCCCCAAATATTAGCTGTGTCAGGTAGATGTCAAGGCCAAAGTCCCCCACTTGGAGGCTGAATCCATAGTACACCAGACTGTCCACAAACCTACAAAGTAACAAGTATCCCTGTCACTGCTGGGTATAGGAGCTCACACCAGGGGAGAGACCACGACACTCACAGAGCCTCCATCCATCCCTCCAGTGACACACTGTAAGGCAGGAGCAGTCCTCTGGCTCTGTCCTCACTGGAGGACAAGGCCCTGGGCACTCACCAGACCGCAATGAGAATCAGGGTCACCTTCCTGAGATGGGGGTGTCTGAAAAGATCCAGGGCGTTCCCCGAGGGGCCTGTCTTCTCAGGGACCAGCTAGAAGAAGGGCAGAGTGAGGGGCCGGGACACAGGCATAGAGACTGGCTTGAGACAGGGTGAGCCTGGGCCTGCTAACAGGTACCTGGCTCAGGAGCTCTGGAGAAAGTGGCCGCCTGTTCACTGAAGCTGCCTTCTGGACCAGCTGTTTGGCCTCCTCTATCTTTCCTTGGGAGAGGAGCCACCGTGGAGATTCTGGCAAAACCCTGTCAACCACACGTGGCTCTGATCCTGAGGTTGACCCCTGTGTAGCCGCCCAGAATTCCAGGGCACACTGAGTCGCCCCCCCCCCCAAGCTCCACAGGTCCCTCCTCTGCGCCCTGCCACAGCACTCCCAACAGATGGTCGCCTGTCACTGCCAAGGGTCTCCCTACCAGAAGTAGAAGACCAGCAAGAAGACTGGTGTGGTGCCTATTAGCTGAAGGAGTCTCCAGTTGCGAACACCATAGGCCAGGCCTGCTAACACCATCAGTCCAATGGCAATGTTGCTCTGGGCCAGGACCATGGCTTTGGTTCTCCAGGACGGCCCCACCCATTCTGAAACTGTGAAGACAAGGCTGAGACAGGGGCGGGACCTGCCCGCTCACCCACCCCTGGTGATTCCCAAATGCCAGACTGTTGGAGATGTGACCCAGCCCCAGCACAGAAAACTGTGACGAGACCTCCTTAGGTGCAGTTGGCTGACACCATCCCCAGAGGCAGTTTCGGGGCTCTCCCTCTGACTCTGGGGAAGAAGGCTCCAGGGCCCAGGTACTCACGCAGGACGTTGGTGCTCAGTAAATACCCAGCGACAGCAGTGGCCGTAGCAAAGCGTAGGGCCATGTAGAGCGCAAAGCTGGACACGAAGGCCGTGGCGATGCTCGTCCCGGCAGACAGGAGCAGCTGCACCAGGAGGGAGGGTCTACGGCCAATCCTGCGTTAGCAGAGGGACACACTGTGAAGCCAGGAGGCCTTCCCAGGCAGGCCTGTCCTCGGCTCTCTGTCAGAGTGAGGAGACAGGGTCTTCCACGGAGCCCCATTTGAAGGCAGGCATGAGGACTTATCTTGATGACTAACAAAACTCCAGGGAATAACCTAACCCTAACCCTGATGGGCCAGCAGCAGGAGCCTAAAGCATGCTGGGTGAGCGGCACATACCAATCGCAGATGGGCCCAAAGATGAGGGCCCCAACGAGGAGTCCAGCCATGAACACTGACTGTGAAGTGCTCTTCAGGTTCTTCCGATCACACACCAGGTCAAACTGAGGCAGAAAAATATTCATGTAAGGTCAAGTGCAGCATCCAGGTCCAACTTCACTTTCTAGGGCCCCACATTTTCCATGTTGTGTAACAAGTTACCCCATAGTCAACACTGTGGGCACAGGACAGTTAAAATCTGTACGGAAATATCATAGCAATCTTTGAATTCTGTCCAATATCACAACTTGCCTAAGAATTCATAAGTCAACATTGGGTACAGTTTTTCCCCTTCCAATGACATTAAATTTACACAATATCTTGTTTGACAGTTGCTTTTATAAAAGCAAATAACTTGTGCAATTCTACATGAAACTAAAACTGAGGGTGGCAGTGTTGGAAGACCAAGAAACTGTGCGCCGGCTGCATGACAGACATCCTATTAGTATGTTTCATGTTCCAGTCTTCTAAAGAACTAAGCAGAGTATTTCTTATTTCTTTTCTTTCTGTTGCTATGGTTAAAAACAAAGCAAAACAAAACAAAACAAAACAAAACAAAACAAAACAAACAAAAAAAAAACCATGACTAAAAAGCAAAAGGGTTTATTTGGTTAACACTCTGAGGTCATAATCCATTGCTGAGGGAAGTCAGGGCAGCTGCTCAAGGCAGAAACAGAGGCAGGAATCATGGAGGAAGGCTGATTACTGGCTACTCACTGGCTAATGCTCAGCCCAAGGCCACCTGCCCAGGAATAGGACCTCCCACATCAATCATCAGTCAAGACAAGCTTATGGACATGGCCACCAGTTAGTCTGACCTGGGAAAGCCCTCTTCCCTGGTGACTCTAGGCTATGTCAAGGTGACAATAAGCTAGCCAGCACAGTGTGAGCTCACATTTTCATTTGTGTATTTTGAGGCAGGGTGTCATGTAGCCCAGGCTGTACTCAAACTCACTTTGTAGGGAGGACAACCTTGAACTCCTCATCTTCTGCCTCCTGAGCTCAGGATCATAGGCATGTGTCACAATGACAGCTTTGTGCATTAATTTTTAAAACAACTACTTGTTAGGGTAAAAATACCATTAAACTATTTGGACTTAATTACTTAATCCATAGAACTGGTAAGTACTTCTTCTGGCACGGAGAGTACCATGTAAAATCATCGACACAAAAAGAATGTAAAATCTGGAAACTTCTGACAGACCTCTACTAGGTGCTTCCTGACAAACAGAACCTGTCTCCTGTGTAAGCCACTCGGGCCCTCCCAAGTTTCATATGTGGCTGTCCAGTTACCTTCAAATGCCCACAGTTTGATCAGAATTCTGAAGAGTACTGGCACATGCCTTTTGGTCAAGACAGATATATATGAACACAAGGAGTCGGAAGAGGGATACAAATCGCCTGGGGAAAATGTCAACACATCCAGAGATAAGCTGACCACACCAGGAAGACCGAATAGAGAAAGTATATGGATCCACACATCCCTGCATATCTACTACAAACACACTGATCCCAACCCTTCCAGGCTGTGGCCCCGAGTGGGAGTTCTGTGTCCCTGTATGGATCAGCCCCTTGCATGAATGCTTAGGTGGGAAGCCATCCTGTGAAGGCTCTTCCAGTGTCACAGCTGTGCACTGTGTGCCAGCAAAGAGTGGGCTCCTACTAAAACATTCACACGGGACCAGGATAAAGGCACGCACCACTCATGCCTAGCTTTATTTCCCACTGTAATTAGATTGCACAAGTGTGAACTTTGTAGACAATGTTGCATCACAATGTCAAAAGGTTGGACATGCCTGGTAGGAGTTTCTTAAGTCAACCAAGTTGTCGACCAAAATTAACCATCCATAAGACTGAAAAGAGCTGTCTCTTGCCTTTTCATAATTGCTATCCCAAATTAAACCAAAAGAGCCTGGCTGGTTAGAAACACTTTTTCCAAAGTCGGACGGCAGCATATGGAGGTGGTATGTACCTGTTGCTGTGCACATAGAAAGAAACGAAGTGAAGCCTGAGAGAATATTTGCTGGGAATGGATTAATGAATAGCTGGACTAAAGCTTACACCTAGCTAGCTGATCATCAATTAAGTAACTTAGCAAGAAATTAACCAATCCAGGAGTTGGTGCACTCACACTTCTCAAGGACAACAGTTCCTTCTGAAGGACTTACAGGATGTGTGGGATGGCGACCTAACTGCTTCTGAGTGAAACCAGACCAGACAGGGAACTCAACTGTTGTTCTTTCCAGTTCCACACAGCCTGATTCTATCTAGTGCCTAGAGGTTGTATCACAGTAAGAATTCACTGAAAATGAGTGAAAGTAGATGGGGTCCTGCTGCCACCAGGCTCCACAGCTGGAGCTAAATGGCTTTGTGTGACCTCGAGCCTGTTCTCCATCCATGCAAAAATGGGGATAAAGTCGACCCTGTGATGTCACCCGACATGATCAGGTCATCTGTAGCACTTCTAGACTAGTGGCTGTTGCATCGGAAACTCCCAGGCAGGGTTGACTAGGATGACTACGAGCTGTGCCTGTGGCCACAAAGCTGATGAGGGTGCAGTGCATTGCAGATACAAATGTGAAGCCACAGAGGCTTCCAAGTCTGGCACCATCTGCCCCCCCCCCCTTAGTTTATGTCCCTTGCAGCTTAAGTCCTTGGGAAAGCTTAACACTGCACCGTTCAGGAGCAGCACCTAAGACTTGCAGGCCCCCCTTCCCGCTGTGAGCCCAGTCTCAGGTAGAGGGATCATGTGGCAGACAACAAGGAATGAAGGGTTCTTCTGTGGGATGCCTTTCTCTAGCTGTGAATATGGTTTGCTCTCATTGGCTGATAAATAAAGCTGTTTGCCAATGGTGAGGCAGAATAAGGTTAGGCGTACATTCAGATTGAAGATGGAGATGAAGAAGGGTGGAGTCAGGCAGATTCTGTGAGCCACCGCCAGGAGAAGCAAGATGTGAGAGAGCAGGTAATGCTGTAAAGCTACGGGGCAAAGCACAGATTAATAGGAACGGGTTAAGTTAAGTTATAACAGCTAGCTAGCAAGAATCCTGAGCCATAGGCCATACAGTTTGTAATTAATATAAGCCTCTTTGTGTTTACTTGGGACGGAGCAGCTGTGGGACTGGGTGGGACACAGAAAAACTTCTGCCTACAAGGTTCCAACCTGGCATGCCAGTCATCACCCTCTTTGGGTTTTAATACATACAGCGAGTGGTTCTGTTCAAGGCCCATGGTGGTGGCCTACAGACTTCCACTCTCGTTTTTTAACGCACATCCCATCTTATCTCCCTCTCCATTCCCTAAACTTCAGTGGCTCTCTCTGGTTTCTAAGGGAAAGTTCCAACACTGCCCCTAAGACCTTTCAAAAGCTAGCTTGTACCTATCTCCCAGATACTTTTATGCCATGACCCCTCAAGTGTGCTGGGCATTTCATGCCTCCAGATTCTTAAAAAAAAAAAAAAAAAGCCATTTTTTTTCTGCATTCCCTTCCCTCCCATTCAGATGCCTTCGGTCCCTGGACAAATCACACTGCTGTGGCTCATTGACAGTGCATCCATTTCTATTCACCAGCCTAGGTAGACAGGGCAGTTAGGCATGTTTTCATTTTACTGAGGTTAGATATCCAGGTAATGTTGCAAAGATACACTGAGAAGGGGAAACATCTTCAAGGGCACACGGTCTATCATAAAACATGCTCTCTTCAAATTAGTGTCGTTTTGTTTCCATTTGAAAATGAAGCCACTCTTTACAGCACAGTGTCTGCTCAAAAGGAGTCCCTTGGGTTGGTCTGCAGAGCCCTTCCTTGTATATGGGAGTTCACACTGAGTGCTGCTCTGGAATAGAGTTTGGGATTATCATTGGAACAGTACACACATTTCCAAAGGTGGTAAAGATTTTCCCTGGAAAATCTGAGGTAGGAGGTAGCCTGTGGGATAGTTAGGCTACCCAAGGCCTAACCTACCCACCACAGGCTAGGTTAATAACTAAGGATAAAGAGAGGCCTCTGAAGCTGGGTGTTGGTGGTGCACGCCTTTAATCCCAGCGTTCAGGAGGCAGAAGCAGATGGATCTCTAAATTCCAGGACAGTCAGGGCTACACAGAGAAACCTTGTTTCAAAAAACAAAAAACAAAAATGGGGGGGGGAGAAGGGGCCCCCTGAGTGGCCAATCCATGGTGAAGAAGCTCAGGTGAATGTCAAATCTGAGATATGTAAACTGGATACAAACAATTCCAGGGAAGCAGACAGCCCTCGTGTGCTGTTGCTGTGATAATCATTATGACCAAACACAACTCAAGGGAGTACAGGGTTTGTTTCAGCTTACAGGTCACAGTCTGTCACTGAGGAAGACCAAGTCAGGAGCTCTGGCAGACCTCCAAGCACAGAGGGGCGGGCAGCACTGCTCACCGGCCAGCTCCAGGCTCTCCGCTACCTTCCTTCTGCCGCTCAGGACTGCCTCCTAGGGGTGGTGCCACCCGCAGTGGGCTGGACCTCCTACATCAACTAGCATTTTAAAAATGCCCCCACAGACGTGTCCACGGGCCACTCTGGCCTGGGCAGTTCTTCAGTTGAGGTTCCCTATTTCCAGGTGAATTTCATTTGTGTCAAGTTGACAATAAAACTAGCCAGGACACTCCACCCTTTCAATCTAATGCAAAAACATGCCACCTGTTAAACTATAGCTTTCCTTTCTTGTTTGTCCCCAGGATCTTACATCAATATCATAACATAAAATACAGGACAACTTTAAAACTCTGTCTTTAAAAAAATTCCAGGGTTTTAAAAGTTCAATGTCTCTTTAAAAATCTAAATTCTCTCAACTGTGGACTCCTATAAAATAAAAAAGTTATATACTTCCTTCCTTCCAAAAAGAAGAACCAGGGCATAGAAATGATTCAACAAAGCAAAGCCTAAACCCACTGTTTTCAGTCCCAATGGTGTAAAGAACTGGCTCTCCAACATCTGGGACTCACTTCTGAACTTCTGGGCTCCAAGTGACTTGGGAAGTCCCGGTTCTCTGGCTCTACCACCAAAACACACACTGCTGGTTTTGTAGGCTCAGGCTGGCTCCACTCCATGCACACTGCTGTCCTCGGTGGCTTTCCCATGCTCCTGCTATTGTCAGTATTCTGAGGTCTCCTCTGCAACTGAGGTTGTCCCTCACCAAGGGCTTCTCTTGGCTTTTCCGCTAGAACTCCAACTGTACCTCACGGTGCCAAATGTGAGCTTCCTTCTGTGATCCTTCAATCCTGGGGTCTCCATGGCAACTCAGGCTAACCTATACTAATGTCCTATCCTGAATTCTCTTTAGGGACTCCAATACTGCCACATGGTTCCAGGCTTGAGCTGCTCCTCAGGAACCCCCCAATCTTGCATCTCTCATTCCTTCAAAATCAGAACTACCTGGGCGATTCTTATATATTGCCAAGTTCATTTACCAGCTTGAGATGAAGCCTCCCTAGCCCCACTCCAGACCATAACTTCTGTATGCTGACTCTGAGGAAATACTTTCCAAAGATTTCATCTTAAAGATGATGGCCTCTATTAATCATAGTTGATTTTTCATCCCAGCTAACCAGCACCCATTGTCCCAGTAAAAAAAGGTTTCATTTTCATACATCCTTAACCTAACCTGACACAACCATAATAGAGTCTCCGCTTCCCTCTGAAACCATGCATCCACTACCTGTGTTTCTCTCAACATTCTCATCTTCCAAGCTCCCACAGAACAGCCCATTAAGCTCTGGGTACTTGATGGGTTTCCCACTTAAAGTTCCAAAATCTTCAACAAGTCTCATAACAACACGGGTCAGGCAAAGTAACAATCCTACCCTGGTACCAACTTTGCTTTTCTGTGACAAGAAATAACTTGTGGTGGAAACGGCTTCCTTGGTATAAAGGTTACAGTTCATAGTCAAGAGAAGCCAAGGCAGGAACCTAAAGGCAAGAGCTGAAGCAGAGAACATGGGAAATGCTGCTTACTGGGCTTGCTGTCAGGCTACCTTTCCTACACAGCTGAGGCCAATCTGCCTAGGAATGGTTCTTCCCACAGTGGGCTGGGCCCTCTCACCAAAATGAGTAATCAAGAAAACGCCTCAGGGATATGCCCACAAGCTGATCTGATCTAGACAACTGCTCAGTAAAGGGGTCACTACTTCCAGGTGACCAGGACACAGACCATCAAATAAACTGTTTTGAGCAATGGAATCATTGTCTCCTGACATCCAATACAACATACCAGTCTCCATGTGAGGACATGCTGTTTTTTCTTCTCACTTATTGTGCATTGTGCACATGTGCATGCCACAGCATGTATATGGAGGTCAGAGGACAAGTCATAGGAGCCGAGTCACCAGGCTTGGTGACAACATCTTTTCCTGCTGAGCCACCTTGCTGACCCTGTGCTGGCTGTTTTTAATGTCTGTGAAGCCCAGGATTGGTGGACGGTCATAGAATCTTGCAGTTTTTGATACTCCAGGACAAGGCTATGAGGGATTGTGGTAGCTGAGTACCTGCAGACAAGTGTATTTCAATGCTCTCCTTGTGCTCATTCAAAACTGTAAAAGAAATGGGGGTCTGGCCGGGCAGTGGTGGCGCACGCCTTTAATCCCAGCACTCGGGAGGCAGAGGCAGGCGGATCTCTGTGAGTTCGAGGCCAGCCTGGTCTCCAAAAGTTCCAGGAAAGGTGCAAAGCTACACAGAGAAACCCTGTCTCGAAAAACCAAAAAAAAAAAAAAAAAGGAAGAAGGAAAGAAATGGGGGTCTGCTATTGTCCAGTTATTTTCTTGATTGCAAGGACCCAGATTGATCTTAGGGATGACCCCCTCTGATTGACAAGCTTGTCAAGAAGACATAGAAGACCATCACATTAGTGATTCCTCAAAAGCTGGCCTTTGCCAGAATAGTGTTGAGCACACAGAGACTATTCTGAGGCCCATGGGAAGACCCAGTGCATGCATCTATTGTAAGCAAGTGTCAATACCCTGGAGCATCCAGGGTAAAAGAGCTTCTTCTGGCAGGCACGGTCATTTGAGTGTGCCTTTTCTGTCACCCATGAGCAGAGCAGATACAGTGTTTGATGGACTCATAAAGTGGATGGCTCCCGTCCTGCCCCTCCTCCTTCCCAAGAGGTTCTGTACGGCTACCTTTCAAATGAAAGCTGTTGGCTGCTTGCTGTTGGAGAGAGACATTAACTTCTAACTTCTTTCACTGATACATGAAGAAAAGGATTAAACTTTTTCAAACAGCAAATATAGGCTGAAGATGGCTCATGGAGTAGACACTTGCTGCTCAACTTGAAGACCTGAGTTCAATCCCCAGGACCCACATAGTAGAAGGATAGATCTGCAACCACCTCCCAACATGCACTAAAGAGCATGCGCACGCGCACGCACACACACACACACACACACACACACACACACACACACACACACAAAGTAAATAAATGTAATTTTAAAACAAATGCATTAGGGGCTGGAGATGGCTTGGCAGTGAAGACCACTGGTTACTCATGATTCCCAACACCTACATGGCAGTTCAAAACCACCTGTAACTCCAGCTACACACACACACACACACACACACACACACACACACACACGCACGCACGCACGCACGCACGCGCGTAGGCAAAACACCTATAACACATAGAATAACTTAAAAACAAAGATACACCAAATGGATTGAGCCCATGATTTCAGTGAGTGTTTCCTTTCAGTTATTTGTTTTATGTGTTTAGTGTAGACTTGGAGCCTGACAGTGAGAGACCCATCTGAAGGTTGGGGATAGAGGAAACTGAGGAATGGTGCTAGATGAAGGGTCTATAGGAGACTCTTATGTGCTTCCAGGCCATGAGGAGTCAGGCCTGCTGCCAGGCTGTGGTTGGGTGAAATTACATAAGAGTTCAGCACATGCTGTGGACAAGGCTTAGAGTAGACTCAGAGCAATCTGGAAGGTTCACTGGGCCTTAAAGATGCTGGTGTTTGGCCAGGTGTGCAGAGCAATTCTATGCAATTATAAGGGTACCCCAAACTTTTGAGGGATAATCAAGGTCAGAACCTACTACAAGGTGATGGAGAGCCCTGGACTCGTCCATGCTAGGCTGAGCGAGATCAAGTAATTAGGAGCGTCCTTAAGCCACGTACCTACTTTGGGTGAGGGGGCAGGGTGACAGTGAGAAGAATCCCAGGAAGGACATACCCAGACATAGAAGGATTACTGTCCCATCCAAAAAAGTGAATGTTTCACTTTGGTTAAAACATTGTCTCCAGAGGCTTCTAAAAATGAATGTTTTTACAAATGTGTGCGTGTTGGGGGAGTGAATGTTTAATCCATGGGATTGAGATCCACAGCCATAAACATGATGAGAATGCAGAGATGCTCCTCAAGAGTCCACACCCTTGGGCTTCTGGACTCTCCATGTGTGCTCCCTGATGAAAAGAAAGGCAGAGCTGGACAGTGGGGATCCAGCAGAGCAGCCTGGCTCCATGGTCAGCTTCCTACACTGCCTGAGCTAAGTCATCTCCTCCAACTGTGCCTCAGTCCTTCCATTCTGGACATGGCAACAGTCTGACACAGAGTGCTTTCCAAGGGCCCCTGGGACTCTGGGGTAGCTGGAGGAGAAACTGGTTTATCTGCTTGGATTTCTAAGAGAATAGAGCTAGTAGAAGCAAATGTTTGGTTATTTACACAACAGTCATAGGTTCTGAAGTGTTCTCCAGAATCCTAGAAGCAGACAGGAAGAGACCTAGAAAGAAGCTGAAAAGTAGGAAGCCATGCTGGGTAAACAGGACAGGACGGTAGAGGGATGGATGTGGAAGGAAAGGACATTAGACAGGAAGAGGGCATCAGATATCTGGCATTAGAAGTCTTTGGAATACGGTAACTTATAGCCAGGCAGACTTGCAGAGGGGTACTCCGAAAGACAAAGGGGGCAGTGGATACAGATAAATGGGGACAGAAATAAAGGCAAGTGGCTGGGCGTATGCCATCAACATTTACATGGGTGGTATGGATCCAAACTCAGCAAGGACTTTACCCATGAGCCATCTCCCAACCTCTTGCCAGTTTTTATGCATGTGTTAGTTTCAAGGGCATTCAACAATTAGACAACAACTAAAAGAGGTTATGAAGCACAGCAAACTTCCCATCTGGTCTCTGTGGCCCAGGCCTCCTTCCTTAATGCACTAGAGTTGGATTCAGCTCCCAGACATGCCATCCCTTGTCTGCAACCAGGCTTCCTCTTGTTTTTCTTCTCCATAAAATATCTCCTCTTCTCGTCAACAGTTTATGGGTACCTTGGTGCCACCAGGTTCACAAAAGAACAGGCAAACACGAAACCCTGATGGACAACAAGCCAAGCAGACAGAGAAAATCAGAGAGGGAGAGATGGGCCAACAGACAGAGGACAAAGAGAAACATGGCATGACCAGAAAAGGGGGAACAGGCAACAGATGGCTACATACACACATAGACACAGAAACAGAGCGAGAGGGTGACTAAAGGCACAAGGTCAAACAGAAAAACTGACAGACCCACACAAGTGGACACACAGACAACAAGCTGTCCCACCTCATTCTTCAGGGACTGAGGCTTGTTCTCAGGATAGTCCCAGCCTGAGTCACAGGCCTGGGTCTCATTGAAGCGGTGGCTGAGGATGTCTTGCAGGCTGGCGTTGTCTGGAGGGGGCCGGAACATGAGGCAGGACTCAGGTCTGCCCGCCGTGTCGTTGGGGATGCTGACTGCCAACTGCTCAGCAGCACTTAGGTTGAAAGTGTGGTTCTTGACCCAGGACACTGAACAGTGGTGAGCCTCATCAAGGACCATGAAGATCTGACTAAACACGAAGAATGCAGACAGGAAGTTGGGGATGCCCATCAGGATGGTCAACTGCACCTGGAAGCGACCAAAGTCGCCCACTTCAGCCATGACCTGGGCAAAGTGAGCCATGTCTGCTGCTCACTCCTTAGTCTAGGAACACCAGGCAGGTCTGAAACTTGGCTTTGGGGCACTTGCTGTTCTGGGCTGTGGTGACAGCTGAGTTAATGCTTAATCCAGTCTTGCTGAGCTCTGCCTCTCTCTCACACCTCTTCTACTAGCTGTAGTCTAAGAAGGTGTTATGGATTGATGTTTAAATGCATCCCCTCAAAGGTCTCATCTGTTGAAGACTTAGTGTCCACCTGGTGGTGGTACTCAGAGGAAGTGCAGCCTTTAGGAGGTGGGGCCTACTTGAAGGAAGTGAGTGGTTTAAGGCATGCCTTTGGAGGAGATATTGCAGCCTCAATCTTTCTCTATCCCTCTGCTTCCAGATTACCATGAGGCTGGCAGCCTTGTTCCAGCACACCCTTCTGTCATACTATCAGGCTTCACCACAGAAACCAGAGCCTGGTGAACAGGAAGTCTCTGAAAACATGAACCGGAATAATTTGCCATCCTTTAAGTTACTGCTGTCCAGTCTGTTGTCACAGCACAGAAAGTCAAGGAGCACCAAAAACTGGCACTGAGAACTAGGATAGTGGCTGTGATAGCATCTCATCAAGTGGTTTAGAGTCTTTGGAAAGGGTTTGCTGAGGATGGTGGGAAGGTTCAGGGGCACAAATAAGCAGTCTTCTTGTAAACAGAGCTTTGTGGATCATTCTGGCAAGAGTACCAAAGACCAGAATGCGGATAGGAATGCAGAGTAATGGCTGCGCTCATGAGGTTCCTGATGGAAGAGAAGTTTAAGGAACCAGACTAGAATCCATCCATGTCACATTCTGGAAAACAAGTACAGACTTGTCTACATTTAATCTGTTCTGTGACGTTGTGATGCTGAGTTCAAAGACAATGGGATGATGAATCCAGTAGAAGAAATGTCATGGCAGTACATATTCAGGCAACAGCATAGGTATGTACTGCTGGCTGCTTTCGGGTCGGTTACTGTGAGAATTAGGAATAAAAACTGAGGTATAAAGATTTGAAAAACTTTGACCAGCAAAGAGCAATTAATGTTGGGCCACACTTTAAAAAGCCAAGCTCTTTTCATTGGGACAATAAGAAAGATGCCTTAAGAGCAGCTTAAGAATTGGCCCCTCCCACTCCAGAGTAAAGTTGTAAACTCACTTGAAGGGCTTTGCTTTGAGAAGACAGTGCTAGGGTGCCTTCCACACACAGAGCAACCTAAGGAAACATTTGTTGTGCTCAGACACTCAAGACCTGAATGGTTATGTCAGCCACGGTCAAAGGAGGACCAATGACCTCTACAACGGGCGGCAGACCTTGGAATAATCTATATGGTCCTGTGCTGTGGGATGTTCTGTATGTCCTGTGGGAGCCCTTCTTGGGTTCTTTGTGGCGTTACCCAGCAGGTCCGCATAGAGGATGATTAGGACCATGGGCCTGAGTGCAGGTGTCTGAGATGGTCTGCACTTGGCTGTGCTGGGGGATGGTTTGTATGTCAAGTTGTTCTGATTGATCAATAAATAAAACCTGATCGGCTGTGGCTAGGCAGGAAGGATAGGCGGGACTAACAGAGAGGAGAAATAAAAGGACATGAAGGCAGAAGGACTGACTGCAGCCGCCGCCATGACCAGCAGCATGTGAAGATGCCGGTAAGCCACCAGCCACGTGGCAAGGTATAGATTTATGGAAATGGACTAATTTAAGTTATAAGAAGAGTTAGCAAGAAGCCTGCCACGGCCATACAGTTTGTAAGCAATATAAGTCTCTGTGTTTACTTGGTTGGGTCTGAGCGGCTGTGGGACTGGCGGGTGACAAAGATTTGTCCTGACTGTGGACAAGGCAGGGAAACTCAAGCTACAGTCCTGGCTTTGTAGTTGTACAGAATTTGAAAGTTACCAAATCATGGGGGTCAAGGAAAGTCTGTGAGGCCAAACTATGTGTCTTGGTTTGGGTTTCTATTGCTGTGAAGAGGCACCATGACCACAGCAACTATTTTAAAGAAAAATAATTAGGAATGGATTACAGTTTCAGAGGTTTAGTCTATTATTGTCATGGCAAGAAGCAAGGCAGCATGGAGGCAGACATGATGCTGGAGAGGTAGCTGAGAGTTCTACATCTTGATCTGCAGGCAACAGGAAATGAACTGTCTCCCACACTGGGCCTTGAGCATATGAAACTACAAATCTTGCCTAACAATGACACATCTACTCCAACAAGGCCACACCTCCTAATAGTGCCTCTCCCTATGGGCCAAGAATCCAAGCACATGAGTCTCTGGAGGTCATACTCCTTCAAACCTCCACATTCCATCCCTGGCTCCCATGGGCCTGTAACCATAACATAATGCAAAATGCATTTAGTCCACTATGTGTTTTGGGGTTGAAGTCTGTTCAGGAAGCTGTTGAATAAGCAATAACTTAAGCCATGAGGATGATACAAGGCTGTAATGGAGACCCCAGGAATTTAAAGATGGCTGGAACATGAAATATTAAGGAAAACCACACAAATTGAGCAGATACAGTCTAGAGTAGTGGTCATGTGGGATGCAGACAGCAAGACTGTAAGGGGGAAGCTGTCCAAATCCTCTGGTGCTCACATCATACCACCATGTGCCCCACACACTGAACATGCGAACCCACGGGTCCTGTATAAGGCTCCTTTTCCACGTGATCACTAGCATTTGTTGTGATTTGCTTTCTTAATAATAGTTGTTTCAACTGGGTGAAGCATAAGCTCAATGTAACTTCCTTATGACTAATGATATTGGACATTTCTTCATGTATTTATTAATCATTTTTGTTTTTTGAGAAATGTCTTTACATTTATTTGCACATCCATTGTTTGCTCTTTTGGGGAAAGGGAGTGATTTTAGTTCTTTATATATTGTGAATAATCATCCTGTCCAATGTACATACAGCACAGATGTCTCTCATTCTGTTGATCATTTCCTTTGTTATGCAGGGGCATTTTAAGGTCAAACAATTCCATTTGTCAAATCTTGTAATCATTTCTTGTACTGGTGGAGTCCTTTTTGGAAATTCCTTGCTTATACTTATATCTTGAAGTGCTTTCTCTACATTTTCCTCTTGTCTTAACAGGTCTTCAGGTCTTACAAGGTCTTTGATTCACTTTGAATTAATTTTCGTCCAGAATGATGGAGGCAGAGTTCTCTGTGTCTCAGCAGCTGCTCCCAAATAACCACAAAGAGGCTTAATATTAATTATAAATGCTCAGTCAATAGCTCAGGCTTGTTACTAGCGCTTACATTTTTAAATTAACATTTATTTATTTATTTATTTATTTATTTATTTATTTATTTATTTATTTATTTATTTTTGTTTTTCAAGACAGGGTTTCTCTGTATAGTTTTGGTGCCTGTCCTGGATCTTGCACTGTAGATCAAGCTGGCTTTGAACTCACAGAGATCTGCCTGGCTCTGCCTCCCGAGTGCTGAGCTCCATCACTGCCTGACTCCATATTTCTTATCTACCCTCTGCCACATAGCGGTGCCTTCTTTCAGCACAGCATGTTCATCGCCTGCTTCCTGTGTGTCTCTCCTGTGACTCCTCTGACTTTGCCCTTCTTTTTTCCAGCATGCTCTCTGCTTTGAAAAAATCCTGCTTAGCTATCAGCCTATCAGCTTTTTATTAACAATGAGAATAAGCAACACATTTTCACAATGCACAAAAGGATTATTCCACATCAGAGTGAGAAATAAGTATTTGGTTTATTATTCTGTATGTCAAACCCAGCTTTTCCAGCACCATCAGTTAAAGAGACTTTCTTTTCTCTAATGCATATTATTGGTATTAAAGTCAAGAATCATATGACTATGGCTGCATGGGTTTATTTCTGGGTTCTCTGCTCTATTACATTGGTTTACACACAATACTTCATTTTTGCTTTCTGCTAATCAGGATCTTTTGTGCTTCCATATGAATTTTAGACTTTTTAAAAATTCTGTGAAAAATGACATTGAACTATAGATTGATTTTAGTAATATATCCATGTTCAAAATATTAATTCTGCAGATCCATGAGCATGAGGCATCTTTCCATTTTCTACCTTTTTCTTCAATTTCTTCAGTGCCTTAAACTTTTTACTGTAGCAGTCTTTCATTCCCATTGCCAAGATTATGTGTATGTGTTTCCTTGATTTTCTCATTTTCTCAGCATGTTTCCTACTGATATGTAGAAAAGCTACAGAATTTTATGTTTATTTTGTTGTTCATCTTGAGAGAACTCAAGATTCACAGAACAGCAGGGTAGTGGTCTTAATCTCAGGGGGTCAGATTGCTAGACCCTTTTGCTTTTAATCTCTAGTTGGGGCATCCAAGAATAGAACCTGAGAGGATTAGTGTAAAGTGACCTACAAAATCACCCATTACTGTGTTTTTATTGCTAGAAATAGTACCCAGGACCTTGTGCATACTAGCTGTCTAAGTTACTGTTCTGTTGCTATGAGGAGACACCATGACCAAGGCAACTCTTACAAAAGAAAGCATTTAATTGGGGTCTTGCTTACAATTTCAGAAGATTAGGCCATTATCATGACAGGAAGCATGGCAGCAGACAACCAGGCATGAGGCTGAGTGTTTATATCCTGATCTACAGGTGAGGGAGTTAGGGAATGGGGGAGGATAAAGATAGACACTGGACTTGACATGGACTTTTGAAAACTCAAAGCCCACCCCAGCGACATATTTCATCCAACAAGGCCACACCTCCATAATCCTTCTCAAACAGTTCCATTCCCTGGTGACTAAGCATTCAAATATATAAGCCTATGGGAGCCTTTCTTATCTAAACCACAATACTAGGTGAAATTGTCCACTATAAAATAGTAAATCTGTGGTCTAGATTGGGAAGACTCCTCCCCTCTATGTTTGAGATCTGGATCCTGTACTAGCTTCGACAATGACAACCATAGAGCTGAGCAGTAGTCCCACTGCTACCATGTTCCCAGAGTAAAGGCTATTTTCTGTTCAACAGCACCCTGCTGAAGACAGGGATGGCACACCACATGCTAGCCTGTCTTTCCCTATCAAGACCCTTCTGTTGAGCTTGTCAAGATACAGACAAGAACACATGACAGCATTACTTCCCTAGGGAGATGTGAACAAGCATTTATTCACACTACAGACCACCATGTCTAGAACAGAGATGATCCACCCAAGTCCACCTTAGTAAACTAGTAAGTTCACTGGGTTACTAAGTATGCATGAGGTGTTACAGAGGTGTGGATAACCTTCAACAGTTGTATACTGAAAATCCAATCCTAGATGAGTGATAACCTCCTAAAAGCTGAATAAACGGTGTGAACTTTCACCTTTCTCCAGACTCTAGCACCTCCCAAGGCTACATGTATCAGTAACAGATAACATAAAATCAGTGTGGAGGAAAGAGGCATGTAGAGACTGTAATCTCAGGCCAAGGTCTAGTGACCCTCCGATCCTGTCACAGTCTCATACTGGGAATCACAGCTGCTCTGATGTGGCCATGTCATACCTAGAGGACATGATTCACAACACAGGCAGGTATGACCTTCAGTTAGCTACTGATAAAGACAGACCTTGACCTGACAGCAGATAAAGGACCAGGACACTTGTAAATACACTCCGATGGGCTCCAGTGATAGCCTGCTGCAGCCGCAGCTATCCACCCCAAACTGCTCACTGGGCTGCCTCTTGTCTTGTGTCTGCTTTCTTCACCTTAACAGGTATTTGTAATGGTCCCTAAAAGTCTCCTTGGAGGGACTCTAAAACCATCACATGCTGCTTGGCCTCAGCAGCTTTCTGGAACCTTGCTGCAAGCATCCCTGACCCTTCACTTCTGTATCTTTTGTGCTTACAGAATGAGTACCATGTATATGATGCTGACAAGTCCTATTGCCAGCTTGAGATGTTGCCTAGCACCCTCGGATGACAGTTAACAGTTTGCAGTGGCCTCTGTATGGTCACCCTGGGAAAACCATTTCTTTATTTAGCTGTTTATGAACAGGGGAACTCCTTCCGCACCATTCTCACTCAGTTCAGGCTCTTCCTTTGAATAAACCTGTATTTTCACAAATACCAGTCTTTCATAGGTGGAGACTTATCTTTAGATACCTTTTCTACTGTCTCAATGAAGAGAGTGGGATTCTCTTTAATGGTGCTAATTCCTCTAAAAATTAAGTATAGTGCTTTGCCTGCATTTTCTTTATCTGCAACTTCAAATTGCTCACAGTACATTCCCAACAAAGTTCACATTTTTCTTATCTTTCTGCTCTCTCATACTGCAGATCTGAATACATAAGCAATAGTCACATCAGAGCCTGATAGTGTACTGGCTGGAATCTCTAAGTGTTTTGAATTCCACTTCACTCAAGTTCTCGTGGAATAAAATGCAGCCAAACTCTTTGACAGAATGTGTCACCAAAGGCATCAAGTCCAATTCCCAGTGGAGTGCGT